TGGAATTTTTCCTGGATTCTGGGGTCAAGCGCAAAGGTCTGCGTTATTTATTTACAATACGGCGTCCTTGCAATTTTATCCCACTTAACATTACGAACATAAAATCACCCAATAATTAATAAACTGAACTGAAATCATACGATATTAATTTTTTCCAATGACGAGAACTTTCGAATTCTATAAAAATAATAATATTTCTACGGGAACGGTAAAAAGTGGTATCTTGCTTTGTTTACTATCAACGGCTAAAATACAGCACTATAAATTAAAGCAATTAAGTTCACGCTCTATTGCCCACTCCTGGAAGAGAAATAAATAAATGTTACTTAAATAACTTAAGGTTTTAGTCCATTCATATACATTAGGTCTGATAGATTTCATGAACGAAAACGGGGGTGCTTAGTTATAAGGTGGTGGTATCTCTAAAACAGTTCCATATTTAGAATATATAAAAACAGTTTGGTATAGTGCTCGAAAATATACATTAACTATGCGATCTGAACGTTTTTGCTACGTTGCATTGACGGTAAAAAGTGAATTCTTACTCAAATCAGCGTTAGAACTGTTATCAAATTCAAAAAAATGTCTATTTCACAATTTACAAATTGTGATTTATATAACATGCACAAATAACGTATTTGATGAAATTTGCCAATTTATAAAATCATAAAGACGTATCCGTTGCTTTCAGTCGTTTGATTTTACGGTTAAACGTGACCATTTCACTGATGAAATCTGTTAAGGTCCACACACTTTATGACTTGGAAATGTGCCAGAAATATCATATGTAATGATTTGTTATAATGACTAAAATTAATACTTTTATCCGCTACCTTGTTTAACGAGTAGATGTAGATGAACAGTTGTTCGACATTACACTGTACAATGAGGTTTATTGTACTTGTACTATTTCGTGATATAGAACGATTACGAAAAAGTTTCAAGCTCGATCATTTACTTTCCCTATTGAAACTTTGTCGCCTCAACACAATCCCTTCGCTTTCGCTTAACTACTCCATCTCAATTTGCCCAATATTGAGTGTTCTAAAGAGACAAATACATCCGCATCTCTTGTCACATAAAGGAAAATGTCGATGGATTGTAGTTTTTACCTCCTTTAAATGACTGATGAGATACGTGTTTATTTTTGTGTATCGCGGATATCTAAGAAATAAACTCGTCACTTTTTTTCTTAAAGCGACAGGTTATATTGTTTCTATTCCCAAGAATAAATGCTGTAACACTAAGATGACAATCTGTCACAAATGATTCGCGCCGAATTATTAATACAGATCCGAACGTTCATCCTATCACTTACAGTAACACGGCGGACGGACTAAGTTGGCATGTACATTGAAATCTACATTTCAAGGAAGATAACGGCAATTCGAATACGTCAATCGATTGAAACGTTTTCGAGCAATGCGTTATTCAAACAAAGAGTGAAAGGAGGTTTTGTTTTGTCTTAGTAATTTCGATTTTCCAGTATTGACGTATTTCTAACGAAATTTGATAAAACTGCAAACACGCGAATAGAAGATCCTCGAGGTTCAAAATAAGACTGTTTCATTTGGAATATCACTGACTGTGGTCATACATTATTTGTGTAGGACTGGTCTGCCGTTTTGTTGGAGCTAGGTTGAGATGTTGGAAAATTATAATGTGAATCACACCTTGTATGAGTAAGGAAAAATTGATTTGAAATTATGTACTTAGCGAGTCCACATCCTGCTTCAAATCTCCCATCGACATTAGCTACAATAGAAAAATGTATGAATATTGGACATACAATACATAGGTACCTACAATATACTTATATGCCAATTTTCGTTTACGCTGTTGTTCAACTCTTCATATTAGGCAAAAAATCCTTTAGTGTTGTCACCATCATTAACCTTCAAATCAATTGGTCAAAATCATATTCTGATTTAGGGCTCGGTCGGTACAATGCATGTTCTAACGGTGTGTTACTGACTGGAAATTCATTCTCTTCGATGCATTCCCATGCGTCTGTATAAAATTTTTATGAAGTTGCTAAATAAAATCTCAAGACTGGGAAACCTGTGGTCTCGAGTAAATCTTTCACAGCCGTCATTCGTCTAATTTGTTGTTTGTAAAGTCTAATACATCGATGTCACTCCTCTCGTGAATCTCAATTTTTTAGCGCTGTAACTTTTTTTACAAAGGGTGGTAACTAGTGTAACAGTGTTCGCTGATAATGACAGCTTTGCTGTTGAAACGCGTTCCTTAAAAAAGATAATATACGAATAGTTTATCTTAAAATTAGTTTATTTATATCTTTTCAATAGCGTCGAATAACATTTCAATATCTGTATGTTAAGTATTGTTTAGAGGATCCATGTCTTAAAACAAAAAGCGAGATTTGACCATATTAAATATACAACTCGCAGTTTAGTTCACATTTTACAATATTAATATTCCACTAGCCATTAAGTGCTCTAAACTCTCATTTTCTATGCACAAAAGTAATATGTTGGCCCATTAGAATAAAAGGGAGCATATGCTTATACTTGCAAAATTCAAAGTAAATACTGTAAGGGGTATGAATAAAATTACTTTTGCTTAAAAGTATGGAGTAAATGCTCATGATGTAAAGGGATTTACTTCAGGTATGAATAAAGCCAACCAGTTGCTTTCAAGTGTGAGTATTTTTCCTTGTCGAAAAGTGATGCATCAGGGATATCACTATTAGAGGATTTTCGCGTTTTTTACACTGTTGTTTGGTTGAAAGCAAAAATCGCTGAAATTATAAACAAATGTAAAGCCTAATTTACACGGGATAGTAAAACTCTCACAAGTTTGTGTCAAAGAGCACTTCCCAATAACTTTCATAATGTAAACAGTGATAGAGAGCTCTCTCCCAGCAAGTCGAAAACCTGCCGGCAATAAAATCTTGCACGTCTAAACACAGTTTTAACAGGACGTTGACATTTATTTCAATCTAGTTGAAAGTTGTGCGCAAGTGCTGCGCTACATCCAGGGAAAAACGTGGATGGTCAAAAGAAGACACGTCTTCTTTAATTAACACTTCAGAAGAATTTCCGGAGCTGTGGCACATCAAATCAAAAATCTGCAGGGACAGATTCAAGAAACAAAACGCATTAAAATTTATAGTTGAAAGTGTCACGAGTACTTCCTGAGAGAAATTACTTTTCACAACTTACTTATAAGTTATAAATGTAAACGCTAGCGCAAGTTACTCTCAGAAGTACTATCGCAATTTACTATCCCGTATAAACTACCCTTAAAGAGTACTACAAGCAGCGGCGTACACCACGAACGGAAATGTGGCGTGGTTAGTTTAGAACCTTGTAGGTGAGAGTCGAGAACGGCGCGGTGGTGCATAGCATAAAATTAAAGTATTTAATTTGGCACAACAAAGGTTTCAAAGCAGAATTGGTGAACGGCGGTCCACTGTTTCTCGCACTGTGCGTATGGTGGTAAAAAATAATCTTTTCATAAAAAAAGCGATTCTGCTTTAATAATCATCTAGTAAGTACGGCTTGCAAGCGGCAAACGTTTGTTTATTCACGTTCAAAAAAGATCGAGAGAAAGGCGGTACATAAAAAAAAGACTTGTTCATGCTTGTTTGGTGTGGGCGGAGTTTCAATCTGCTCCTGCTTTGATCGGCTGTATTTCATTGCATCCTATTTCGTTGAACTGGATAATAGTTTTAATAATTTCTATGGTAATCACTTTAAAATGAGGTTATTTGTTACGCGTATTTAAAATGGAATGGTCTAATGATATTGTGTTAAAGCCGCTTTACATTAGGCAATTTTCGTGCAATGCAAGAGCAATGCAAGTTAGAGATACGTTACTGCGCATGTTCATACGCAATTCAGGTGCAAGAAAAATAAATAGAGAAAGTTCTATTTCACTTGCAAGTTTGGCGCAAGTTCTAGTAACTTTTCTAGTAATTTTGTCAATACCACAATTTATTTGGTTTCGCGTGTGTTATTTTTAATAACCTAAAAACTTTATTTATTCGTTAAGTAACAAATGTAACTTGTAGTTTTGTTACAATGGCTAATAACAACAATAACAACAGGTATGTGTATTTATATCTATTTGATGGTGCTTTCTCATAATGTTATTTATATTTTTAGCAAAAAAAGCCCATGGAATACTGCGGTTACCACTGAGCTGATCCTTCTTTATGAACAATACCCTTGTTTGTACAATATTAGATCTAAAGACTACCATAACAAGAATGTAAGGCAAAGAGCTTTAAATGAAATTTGCACTAAACTTTGTAATGGTGAACTGACGACAGAAATTGTCCAAAAGAAAATTCATGGCATTCGTTCCCAATATATGGCAGAGGTTACTAAAGTGAAAAAGTCAAAGAATAGTGGATGTTCTACAGATGACATATACACACCTAAGCTGTGGTGTTTCGATTTGTTGTACTTCTTAATGGATAACACCAACACTGTGACGGAAGGTGAATCGAACTTGAATCACGAAGTATTCATTGAAGAGGACGAGGTACAGTTATAATGCTTTTATTTTACCTTACCAATAGTGGCCTTTTGTCGTAGGAATGCAAAGAAGTCATTTTTGAGGGCACAATAGATGAACTTCGATCAATGTCTCCGGTTGCATCCTCCAGCACAAGTGTTAATGAAGTTCCTTTCTCAAAGAACAAGAAAAAAAAAAGAATGTTGAAACAGATGCTGCAGATGCGGTATTAACCAAAGCAGCTAATTTATTGTCCAATATGAATACCGATTTTGAAGAAAATGAGTTGGATTTTTTTGCGAAGTATGTCAATGTAAAAAATTCAGTAATTTCCTTAATGAATGTAATTTTAGGTATATTGCTGCGGAATTAAAGAAAATCCCGAATGAAGAGATAGTGGACAATATAAAAATGGATATGATGATGGCTTTATACAATGGGGAAAAAAAAAAATAAAAAAAGATTAAACATTTTTATTATACAGGCTTCACATTTTGTTTGTTGAATATTTAAAATTAAATCATACTTTCTTGCCAAGAAACGGCTCCTTCTTGATTAACATATTGCTTAAATTCTTCACGTATTGCCAAAATTTCATTTTTAACTCTATTACCCCCCTGAGCACTTAGACCGTATTGCAATGTATAGGTGTGATCCAATTCAGCTTCTGTATTGTCTCCAATATAATAACTTGGTACTTCTGTTTTTAAAAAATTATGTAAAACACAACAACATTGTGTCACAACTTTTGCTTTTGTTGGTCCTAGCGGATTTATATGTAATAAAACACGGAACCGATTTGCCAGTATGCCAAAAGCGTTTTCGACAACACGACGGGCTCTGCTTAACCTATAATTAAATACTCGTTGCTCTTTAGTCATATTTTTGAAGGGATATGGTTTTAGTACATGTTGTGATAAAGGGAAAGCAGCATCAGCCACAATAACAAATGGTACTGGTTTTGTTCGACTCGGAAGTGGAGTGTCATCTGGAAAATTTAATATATTTTGCTCAATGGCTTTACATATATCACTTTCTCTATATACTCCTCCATCCGATATTCTACCATTCATTCCAACATTAACGTACAGAAATTTATAATTGGCATCCACAATTGCGAGCAATACAATACTGTGCTGGCCTTTATAATTGTAAAAAGCTGAACCGTCTTGGCCTTGGTGCTTGTATTTGTATATGTTTGCCATCCCATCGCCCCAATAACATTTGGCATATTCCACAATTTTTGAAATTCGGAAGAAATTCTCAACCATTCACGCACTGTATTTGGGACCTAAAATTCATGTTTGGTTCTATAATCATATTAAATGTACTGTCTTTGCTTTGAAATTGGAAACTGTAATTCCTGACCGGAACAAAAAATTATATCAGAATTTCATGTAATTTTTTGTGGACATTCCACCTGTATTTAAAAAATAAAACTTTCAAAAAATATTCGAATAATTGAATTGAATTTTCAATGTTACACGTCGAAATAAATTTAAAATTTGTGCTTTGTAGTGCCGAAACATTGCAGTTCAATTTTTTTTAATTTTTTCGTTTCTTAATATGTATAGGTTGCGGTTACCTTTAAATATTCTACTGCCAATTCTTCGTAAATTGCTTGGCAAACAACTGGAACAAACAGTGAAATAGTACTCTCAGATATCCGAAAATTGTACATTAGTGATCGAAAACTATCTCCAGTTGCTAAATATCTAAGTACAACTATTAGTTTCATTCTTGGTGGTATTGCTTGTCGCAAGCATGTGTCTTTTTTTTCGATTCTGTGTTGTATTTTTGACAACAGCTTCTCAAATGTTGGCTCGTCCGTTCGTAAAAAGTTCTTAAAACTTTTTATATCAGTATCTACCAGTTCTTCAACTAAATTAATATTCCCTTTCTCACAATTCATCCATGATTTCACCCAGCATTTTCTTGTTTTTTCCGCTTTTTCTTTTCTTTTTTTTTTAATAGCAAGCGCCACCACATAACAAGCTGTAGCCAGCTTAATTTCCTTTTGTTTGCTCATACCTAATGGTATCTGTGTAAACAAACTGAAAAGTTTCAAATTTTGAAAAATATGTTGTCAGTACTGCAACACTTTTCTGAACTTGCACAAAAGTTGCAACACAATTGCATAAATGTAAAACCGTTTAAGCAATGCAAGGCAATTTTAGATTGCATAGCACAAGCCTTGCATTGCACTAAAATTGCCTAATGTAAAGCGGCTTTTACAACCACGGTGTAAGAATAAGAGGTGATCCGACGACTGTCGATTCAGGCGGAGATGGCTGTCCCCGATCATGCAACGCTTGCCGCACGACAAAGAAAGCTTGAGGCGGGCCATAGCCATCTCTGTCGTACTCACGGGTTCGCAGTAGTATTGGGTTGTAAAGGTGCTGTCCGTTTTGCGGTGTAGGTGTATCTATTCGTTTTATGTGCCAATAATGGGAAGGAAATGTTGCGTAGTACCTAATTGTAGCACAGGCTACGAAAGCAATGCAGAAAAGGTATTGCTTTTTAAAATCCCAGAAAGTTTAAAAATTTGTTTACCGACGATGTAATCGGGCGACAGAAGTACCTAAATTTGATTAAGGAAAAATTTGATAATTTGTTGGAGCAGGGAGATTGTTCGGACTTGTTTGATGGTGTAGGAGATCTCAGTGCAAACGATTGCTCGGTCAGAGTTATAAATTGCGTTGTATATTTTCTAGCAAAAAAGCTGTTTAAATTAAGCCGATGCGATACGTGCCGAGAAAATTTGTATTTCAAGGAAGCTTTAATTCCGATGGAAGAAGCTGAGTTAATCGAATTGAAATCTAAAGGATTTTTATGTCATCCAGAAACAAGTATGTTTCACTTTTTAAGAAAATTGGAGGACATCTGTGTGAAACAACACATAACATCTGTGGACGTTTTCGAAGCATTATCGACGAAGTTGACAACCAAGGATTATCCTTTACTTTTAATTGTAGCGAGCATAAGGACGATATTGTTGCACAAACCATATATTTTTATGCAGTAATGAGAATCAAACAATATTACCAACAGGAAGAAATGGTGTACAAGCGGCTATCCGCGGAAAAGAGAAACGAATTGCGACTTCAAATACATTGATTTCTATGTATAAATATTGTGTTTGTGTTGTTTAATGTTTTTGAGCGGTAAATAAACTTTTATGTGGTTAAATTGCGTCTGTATTCTACTCTACTATAAGAAAACACTGTATGATCACACGACGAAGCATTTCTTTGTGGGAATTAATCCTACAGGTCATGTATGTGAAAACTTTCTTATGCAGAATCCGTGAGAGCGAGTGCAATGGACTGCGCCCGCTTCATGTTGTCTCTGTCGCACAGTGACCGTCGCATCGATGGAGACACGGATGTCGCGCTTGTCGGACTACCTTTCTATCTTATACCGTGGTTGCAACTAATAGATCCGTATCGAATTCGGCCGGTTTTGTGGAATTCCTTGGACTACAATAATAGAAAAGAAGATACTTCAAAAGAATTAACTGATATCTTGAAGACTGATAGTGCGGAAATTAAAAAGAAAACGCAGTCACACTAATTTTTCATGGTCGGCCATATTGAATATGCTCGCACAAAAAGATGGATCAACTACAAATCTATACAGGGTCATTCTTGATGAGCGTCATATTAGAAAGATATAGAAACCTTTGAAAATGAAAATAAACTGATAAGTTCTTTAAGAGTTTTGGCACATGATGAATTGAACTAAAATATTTTCAAGATGGCGCCACTTCCGGAAATACCGGATATTGCAATACAGTTTTAAATGGAAAGATCGAATTTTCTTATGGTGTGCGTAACCGTCTAAAAAAGTGAGACTACGTCACTTTTTCAAAGCTCTCAACTTTAAAATTTTTAAATATCCATAACCCCATTCTTTTAAATGGCATCCCCCATTTTGTTCTTCACCATTGTTTTCCTTTTTCCCAGACATTTAATTTGATGCAAAATGTCAAAAGCTGCTTCACTGCGACTAATGTTTTATTATACTATTACCTCGACATTCACTGATGTTTAATCTAAAACTGTAATTATACCTATCAAGCAGCAAATAACTAGTCAGATACAAATCACAAAAACCTGTAAATGGCATTCGGATAGGTGGTGCATGATAGCATTAAATAAAATTTCAAGAGGATTCCCAAGAATTTCTGGCGACGACCCCAGAGTTCCCACGAACTACCCAACTCAAGACTGTCTAAAAATTTCGTAAGAATACTTGAGAATTCTTAAATGATTTCTGGGAATTTTTCTATGAATTGTTCAATTTTGAGCACCTATGTATTGATAAAGTGATAAAGAATATTTCCGTGTACTCAAGTATTATTTATTGATTGATTTTCTTTAGGCTATCGATTTCGATAAAATTTCTGGGAATACTTCATCCCTTTACTAAACATTTCCAATGTGACAACCATCCCATTTATTCTCTACAAATTCAACCTGCGTGACATCGTTTGTAAGTCTACCACTCCTGGTACAATAAGTTACTGTTCATGTTTCACTGGTCGCAAGTGCATTATCTCACTACCGGTTTTCAGTTCAGGTTCACACTTCATAGGTACCTAGTTAGATTCGCTCATATACCGAGGCGCGTGGCGCAGTGGTTTTCTCAGACATACGTCGCATAATGCTAGCATTATGTTGAAATCTACGAGGCGAATGCTGGAGCAGTACTTCCCATCCCTAACTTTACCTAACCTTACATTCCCGTTCTCTGGCTGAAGAGGCTCTGGCAAGCCTGAGCAGCCCGCCTTCGGCGTCCCTGTAGTCAAGGATGTCGGAGAAATGAAACACGACGACCTTTTCCTTTTTCGCTCATATGTCTACGTCTAATTTTTTGCCTATAATTTTAGTTTTGGGGCCTGATTTATTTATCACGACGCCGCATACTTTTTCCAACGAATATTTTTGCTGTAGCTCCAGTTCGCTTAACTTTCTCATAGAAACGTCATAATCCGTTAACGGAAGAAAATATCAAGCGCTTACCTTGAAATTAACCGGTGCGTTCAAACGCAAAATTACTAAAATGGCACGAAGTCAAAACAAAAAGAAAGATCCCCTAAGTAGTGCTGTTACCTTATACAAACTTCCCAAAATACGGAAAGGGAACGTTGGAAATTCCGGCCAGTCGGCAGATCCAAAAATTAAAATTTCTTTATTTAATAACCAGGCTCCTTGACGTCCTAAAAATCGGCGACTAATCTTGAAATTCGTGTTAATTAAACGCGCTTCTAATGACACCAGGGTCAATCCAATCAGACGAAATCTACTGCAACACAATTAATTAACTACGGTTAATTATATTCACTTCAATGGCCGGATTAAAATTTCCAAATTCGGTACTTCGACAGCTGATTTCCTTATTGACGGCTAAAACACGACGCTAGAAATCATAGCAATTACTCTTATGAAGTAATGTATTATTTATATTAAAAAATGGAGCAATACATCAAACACAATTACTTTTACTGGGGTTCATTAACGCCGGTAGCTTTCATCAATGTACGGTGTGTTCATTTATTCTGATAAAATTCCTGTATGAAAACAGGTGATTCGTCACTGTTCATTGTTTCCATTCGATCTGGTATATTGCAAAGTCTGTAATTATAAACTTAATGTCAGTCTCCATATCTCAGTCGTTAGGTATGTATTAGGTATAATATAAACACGTCTGACTGTATTTATAATCAACTGTCTTTTGATATTTCAGATTGTCTTTAAAAAAATGTTGGTATCGTTAAGTTCCTTTTCACTGGAATAGATTGATCCATAAAAAAACTGTCTCTCCAACCACCTCAGTAGATGTTATTTTGTCGCAACAATACGTACCTCATTGAACTGTGACAACAACTACGCAAACATGTTTCTATTTATCCGTCGGCTGTCAGAATAAACAAGATTAATTACTTTCAATTGCACTACAAGTAAATCACATCGACATAATTATTATACCAAATAAGACCAAATCAAACAAAGTGAGGTTATAACTTAATCTGGCGAACTTCAACCCCATTAGCACCATTTATTCAAGTCCCACATTCTATACCATTTGTGGACGAGATAAGTAACAAGTGAGTGCTCCTGTATATTATAATTAATCCAATAAACATAAATCTACAGAAATGGAAGTTATAATTTACGCAACATCGAAACGACCTATTGATTAA